CGGGCCCGGCCAGCGTCTCGCGCACCAGCGCCCACAGTTCGCGCTGTAGGGCCTCGTACAGCAGCGCCACGTCCCGCGCGCGCCGACCTCCGCCCGTGCCCTCGGCCTTGGGCGGTCCCGGCGCGCCGCCCCCCGACGACGCCAGCTCCTCGGCCTCCAATTCCAGGATGTGCTCGTCGGCGCGCGCCAGCTCGCGCTGCTGGATCAGGCTCAGGATCTCCAGAACTGTCAGGGTGGAAAGACAGGGCGTCTTGGGAGGGGGCAGGGCGAGGGGAAGAGGACTGGGGAGGGGCGAGGGTGTGAGGGCAGACGGAGGAGTTAGGGTTAATGGGGTCATTTGGAGGGGGCAAAATGGAGATGGGAACCAGGAGGTAGAGGATGGTTGGGGTGGGGGGGAGGAGGGGCCAGGTGGAGAGGCAGAGAAGGGGAAGTGGGGGAGGAAGGCAGGGGGAGGGGATAAAGAGAGGTTAGAGGGTGAGAACCGTGGGAGCAGTCAGAGGCTGAGGGTGTTGAAGATGGGAGACTGGGAAAGGGAGAAAGAAAGAGTGGAAGGACCGAGTTAGGGAATAGGAAGGGGTTTGTGAAGACAGGAGTTTGTTATGGGGAGATCAAAAGACTAGAGGATGTGGGGGAGCTTGGGCAGAGGCTTAGAGGAGGACGAGGGAGAGAGCGGGCCTGAGAGTGAGATGGGAGGGAGTCTGAGGAAGTGAGGGGTTAGGATAAGAGGTTGGGGAAGGGGAGGAGAAGGTTGGGGTGAGGCCGAGGGGTGAGGGGTCCAGGAATGGAGAAGAGCAAGAGGGTTAGGAAAGGGGTGAAGGCAGGAAAGTGGGTTAGGGAGTAAGGAAGAGGTTACAGGAGCCGAGGAACAGTGGTTGTTAGGTGCCTTGGAGTCAGCTCACAGCCACCCAGCAGATGGGCCCTTTGCCCTAACCTGTGCCATCCTCATGACCGCTGTCCAGCTCAAGCCCCTTTTTGTCAGTCACTGTGTCAGGCCAGTCTTGTAGGGAGGTTAGGATAGGAAAAGGGCTTCAGGGGTTGGAGAAAGATCCCAGGGGCAGAATGCTGGAGCTGGAGCTGGGGTAAGGACATCAGGACTAGAGATAGGGCCTTTTGGGGTTACAGATGGCTGTGGGGTAGCCTGGTACTCTGATGAGTTCAGACTTCCCTACAAAGAGGAGTCATGAGGTTGGCAGGCTCATGAGAAGGCAGAAGGGTCCCAACGGCCTAGGGTTACCCCTGACACCTCCTCCCCCCTGTCCGCTTCCTCCCTGGCAGAGAAACTATTTCCTGGCCAGGGCTATTTCTGCCCTTCCGTTTCCAGAAGGCGGGGGCTCCATTTACCCCCTCCTCATGTCCCTCCAGTGCCCTCCCAGTCCCCAGGGAACTGGGGCTGAAATAGCCTCTGGCCAGGATGTGAAGGGCATCAGAGGACGAGGACAGGGCTCTCCTGAGGTCCCCAATCCTGGGGACAGCCTGTCTCTGAGGGGAAGAGTCAGAAATGAAGTGGAAAGGTGGAGGTGGGATGGGGGGCTGAATTCCAGGTGATATTGAGACAGGATGAGGTTGGTGTTTTGACTGGAGTTTCAAAGGTGGGATGGGGATGGGGGAAGTTGAAATAAGATGTTTAGGGCAAGAGTTGGAATCAAAAGAAGTTGAGATGGAAAAGGAGTTAAGCATGGCAGTGGATGGGGGATACACTGGAGAGGAGA